TGGGCATGATTAGCCTTAGGAAAAGATGACTGAGGAGAGATATAATAGCACTCTTCAAATATTTGAAAGGTTGTCATACAAAGGAAGGACAGTATCTGTTCTCAGTCATGCCAGTATGCAGGACACAGAATAATGGATTTAAGTTATTGGAAGCAAATTTTTGGTTGAATATCAGGAAAAAGACTTCCTAACTGGATAGCTATATGACAGTGGGACTAATTACCTCACTGGCGGCATTCAAAAGAAAGGTAGGCAACCCTCAATACTTTGACTTGGATTCTTACATTATTCTGTGATTCTATGGCATGGATTGAATGACAGGAAAATCCTTGTAAAAATGTGAATCTTAGGGACAATACACACACCGATGCATACATTAACAGGTACATTAGAAAATACATGTGAAAATGAATTCAAATTAAATGGCATGGGATCAGGCTGGAATGAACTGAAGGCCAGAAAATTAAGAAACTAAGCAGAACTAAAACTGACAGATTTTCCCACTTCTAAGTAGGACCTGCTATTCCTGCCACATAATGGCAAGCGAATAAAGAAGAAAATGTAGGTCCAAAGGTGCAATTTGCAAGTGAAGGCAATCAACTCTGCAAGTGTTAAAAAGCAAAAACCCCAACGGGATTGTGAGACTTACTTAAGTAGAGTGTAGTTTTAGAAGAGATGAGCTTTTGAAAATATTTGCATACTTATTGGCCTTTGCCTTAATATTGCCTGTTAATGATGCAAGACGCCTCCTTATTCATTGTTTGCAGTTTTAAACGTGGTCTTTTAATGATGTTAACCACCATTGTAGATATTGTCTTGCAGTGTTGTAAGCCGCCTTGGGACTTTTTCGAGGAGAAAGGCAGAGTAAAAATATTTTAAATGAATAAACCATACACCCAAGATTCTTAGAGCCCATGAATACTTAGAATGTTTACTTGTGAAATATTTTATCCAGTATTTCATTTTTCTCCCCCTGTGTCTGATGAAGTGGACATTAAAGTTAACATTAAAATAGCTTATGTCTGATGAAGTGGACATGTCCAAGAAAGCTTGAGTTAAAAAAATTATAAAAGTTAGTCTTTAAGGTGCCACCATGTTTTTATCTCTTTTTTTACTTTTTATTTTGTTTTCACTTACAAATCCTTGCACAGACTAACATGGCTACTGTGGGAATTTTCTAGCCCCCTCCTACAACATTAAAATATAATAGTTTTTAAAGGGCCACATGGCTTTGTCTTTTTTTCCTTTGGATTCTGCCTGATAGATTTCTTTCCCTCTTTAAAAAAAAAGGTTTTGGAAGAAGCTAACCGGGACGCTGACCTCCACCATGTGGCTTGTAACTTTGTCAAGAAGCCGGGCAAGGTCTACTACCTATACAAGAGGGAAAATGGCCAACGCTACTTCTCTATGCTTTCTCCAGAGGTACAGACCTGTTTTTTTCTGGGAAGAGCCTGATAAAGTAAATGGGGTAGAAGAAAAGTGGGTAAAAAGAGAACACAGATGTGGGTTAATTGAAGGAACTTAGGGCTAGTTTCCCCCACCATAGACTTCTTATAGCAATTATAGGATTTGAACTCGCGTCTCCGGAGTCTTTATCCAGTGCTCAACAATGCACCAGGGCAGGTGGGACTTTGCCACGGGATGCATTATTTACAGGGTGCTAAAGCTCAGCGGTTTAGGTATCAGGCTGCAGACCTGGAGGTTGGGAGTTTGATTCCTCCACTGGGCTTCCTGGGAAAAGAGCCAGCCTAGGTGGCCTTGGGCCAGCTGCACCGTCCCAGGGCGCCCCCTAGAAGAAGGGAAGGGAAAACCTACTTCTGAGTATTCTCTACCTCAAAATCCTTGGAAGGCTTGCCATAAAAAATTGACTAGATGGCACACAGCACATACATATAAAATCTAGAGTTGAGTGTCATGATGAGCAAAATAAATATCAGCACCTTTCACCCTTTTTTTTTTTTTGGAATGTGCATACTTTCTTTTTGTGTGGGTGGGTGGGGAAACCACACCCTTTCCTTCCTTTTGTCCCAGTTGCGATCTGGGCCCACACACATCAGGGCAGAGAGCATGAGATGGTGCCCACGTTTTCTGGACTTGCTGGTGATGCCCCTGCGGCTCACCGATTTTGCATTTATAATAAATAATAACATCATCATTATCGTCTTAGAACGGCGGAGCGGGAAGGAAACCTATAGATCATCCAGTCCAGCCTCTCTCAAGGAGGTCCAGTGGGGGGGAATCGAACTCCCAACCTCGGGCTCTGCAGCCGGAGACCTCAACCCCTGAGCTATCCAGCCGTTGATACCTATTTCACATATCTGTTTCTTCTTTCCGCCGTAGGAATGGGGGGCCAGCTGTCCCAGCGAGTTCCTGGGGGGCTACAAGCTGCAGCACGACATGTCTTGGACCCCTTCGGATGAGATGGAGAAGCGGGACGCCGAGCTCAACGTCCTGGAGAAGTTGCTGAACCAACAGGCGTCTCTCCCGCCGTGCAGTGAGCCCAACTTCCGAGGCCTTACGATGTGATGCCAACTGTGGGTGGAAACGATGCTCTCTTTCCCATCTATCCAATTCCGCTCCTCCCCGGAAATGGGTCCAGCGGGGAGAAATAAAAACAGGACAGCGATGGGTGGTCTGGTTTATCGAAGCCCCCTTGCTTAGTTTTTTTTTCATTGGATACCAGCATGGGGACCAGCGTCCAATTTTAATTAGCCTTGTTTCAGCCCTTGGTGTTATTTTTCCCAGACTCTACAAGGAATCCATAAAAAGGAGTTTTGGGTTGGTGTAGGGGTCCACCCAAAGAGCTAGGCAAGCTTCACCTTGCCCCATTTTTATAGCCATAATCCGAGACGTACTTATTTCCTCCGTGTTTTGAATGCAGTGGAATTTACTTCTGAGAAAATGTGCCCAGGACGGCAACGTTGGAGATTATATTTACATTCTGTCTTCTCTAGAAAACACAAAGAAGCATCTATGTGCTTTCTCCTTGCCTTTTAATTTTCACAGTTCACCCTGAGATAGATTGGACTGAGAATTACTACTCTGGCCCAGCTTGGTGGCTACGGAGGGTGTCATCATCTTAGAACTTCAGAGCTGGAAGGGACCCTATGGGGCATCAGTGGGGAATCGAACCCCCAACCCGTCAGAGACCTAAACCACTGAGCTACCGAGCAGTTCCGCCTGACACTGTATCCTGGAGATTGTTTTTCTGGTACCCTGCCTCCCATGGACAGCTGGGACTACAGTTCCCTCACTTTTCAAACCTTTGGCCAAGTTTTTTGAATTTCTCAGAACAGTAGTCCTATAATCGGGATGGTGCTCATCTCTCTACCTCTGCTCTGCACCACAGTGGATTATCCACCGGAACAGTCATGGCCGTATTTAACAGAGAGTCTTAACTTAGTTTTTCAAAAGCGTTGATGCCCGGATCATATGTCTCCTTTAACAGATGCTAATCTGATCATTCAGATCTCCCGGGCTCATTCTGAAACCTGTAACCTACCAAGTTACTTGTTCAAGTCCTTAGGGAGTGGTACAGTATGCAGAGACACACGAGAGACCTTTTGGGGGCTTTATTGCCGCCGTCACGGACTGGCCTCTTCTTGAAGGCCAACCTGATCTCAAAACTGCCCTTATTTCACAAGCAGGTTGAAACCTGGCTTGTTCAACCATGGATTTGGGGCTCAGCGCGATCCTGGCTTGATTTCTGATATATCGGACTGTCGGTTTCATTTTTTTTTTAGCCTTAGGGTGTTCTAAAGTTATTTCGTGGGTTGTGCTTCACCCTGAGATCTGCTGATATTGGGAGGGCTATAATCGCTTTAATAAATAATAACTGGAGGCATTCTTGTTACTGTATATCTATTAGCCGTCTTGTTTGTTAGGGTGGACAAATGGCAACATGACCCAGTCATTAGTAAGTACGTACCAAGTGTTTCTCTGGTGGGGATGATCTTTCAGCAGTGTATGGATATTTCTGGGTGGCTTTTTAATATACTTGCTTTCTTATTAGTTGAGAGAGCTTTAAAAAAAATCTACACCTCCCAGGAGAGCTGTCTTGCACCCAGCTTTTTGTAATGGAAACGTGTGGGTTCTCTAGTCCGTCCTTCTATCATCCATTGCCTCCATCATCACAAGTACCAAGCATTATCCAGAATTTCCAGCACATTGGCAACACGTACATGGTGCCGGCTGGGATTGTGGACACGGACACTGGTGAGAAACCAAGCTGAGGAAGTATTGGCAGTAGCGGTTCGCTTTATTAGTATTGGCCATTCACGAAACATATGTCAATAACATAAACTTTAATGCAAGGCAGATATTGTATGAGTCTCGTGGCGCAGTGGTTAAAACGCTGTACTGCAGCTAAAACTGTGCTCACGACCTGGGGTTCAAATCCCAGGTAGCCGGCTCAAGGTTGACTCAGCCTTCCATCCTTCCGAGGTCAGTAAAATGAGTACCCAGCTTGCTGGGGGGGCAATGTGTAGCCTGTATAATTAAAAATTGTAAACCGCCCGGAGAGTGCTTGTAGCGCTATGGGGCGGTATATAAGTCCAATAAATAAATAAATAAAATAAAAATTGTGTTTGGCCCCTTGAGCAGCTTTCCACGAAGGGTATTCACCGATGATCCCATAATATAACAATAACAATAACAGCAACAACAAACAACAACAACAACAATAATAATAGGGACAGTGCAGAGCTGGGTGGGACCCTAAAGATCATCAAATCCAGCCCCTGTCAAGGAGGGACAGTGAGAAATCAAACTCCCAACCTATTAGGGCCAGGTAACGAAAACCCTGAGCTAACAGATCGGTGTCTAATTTTTTCTCGAAGGCCTCCAAGCATTGGAGCCCCCACCACCTCCTGAGGTCATAGGTTCCCTTGTCGTACTGCTCTAACAGTTAGGAAGTTTTTTCCTGATACTCAACTGAAATATGGCTTCCTCTAACTTGAGCCCATTGATCATCCTTGTTGCCCTCCTTTGATCTTGCTCCGGTTTATTGGCATCTTTCTTGCTCACTCCCTCACCTCTATGTCTTCATCCCAGCTGCATGGAGAGATTTTCCTTGGGCATCCTTGCTCACTCCCTCATCTCTATGTCTCCATCCCAGCTGCATGGAGAGATTTTCCTTGGGAAAACTACAATTCACAGAATGCCCTTCGCAGCCTGGGGAATTCTGGTGTGTGTGTGTGTGGGTGTTTCATAGAAAAAAAATCAGGCAAAATACAAAGAAAGAAAATAAAACAAAAAAGATAACAACGTGGGACCTTCGAAGACTGTTATATTTTAATGTGAGCTTTCGTGGACAAGTCCACTTTGTTGGACATAGGGGGAAAAGGATGACAACCAATTGTACAAGTAAAACACACTAAATATTCATTGTCTCTAAGAGTCTTTGGGTATTTGGCTATATCCCCCATGCAGTAAATTATGGTCTGTGTTTGGGGCTAGGTTGTAATCATTCTTCCAGGAGACAGAAAACAGATGACAGACATCTGATGAAGTGCACGTTCGAAGTTCACATTCAAATATAATAGTCTTTAAGGCGCCACCTGTTTTTTCCCCTTTTGTTTTGTTTATATGGATTTTGGATGCTTCCATAGACTAACTCCTCTTATAAAAATATAAAAAGACTCCCCCCCCC